CAAAAGGAGGATCTACTAAATATTGATGTAATTTTTCTGTTGGGGTGCCCAAATTTATGCACCTGCCTACTTTTGTTTAAGTAATTATTGCACACTTTCTGTAAATCCTATAAACTTCATTTCACTTCTTAAATATCACTGTGTTTGTTTGCTATATGATATATTTAATTGAAATTGCTGTTCCGAACAACCAATAATCCATAAAGGAAAATCTTGAAAATGATCAGGGGTGCCCAAACTTTTTCATACCACTGTATGTAGCTGTTGTGTTTTCATATTTGCGTAATGTATTAATTCCATGGCAAGGAGGAGAAAATATTACAGAAAAAACATGGGTTTTTTTTGCTCAAAGACCAACATTAATATAATGGATAGGTCATTAAAAGTAATTAAAAAAAATAGAATCATACCGGCATTACTGGTAGACAGTGACACAAGCAATGACTCAGCGTTCACACTGTTTCTGCAGATGTTGAACATTAAAGGAAAAAGCTGAGACCCAGTCCTTTCATGTGGCCGTGCACTTTGTTTTGCAGACTTTTAAATATTATAGGCCAAAGGTATGTTAACATATTTGAGGACATAAAGTAAAAATGACAATTCAAGAAGACAGGACTGAGCAGAGGAAAGATCTAATTTGACCTTGGAATGGTAATGTCAGCAATGAGTGCATGGCTAAGGTGTCCAGAGCAATAAGGAGGAGACAGCAGTCATGCAACAATATGGGTGTAAATTGTTTTGAAATATCAGAAGAGAAGAGTTAAGACCAAGACAAAAATTTAAGCTAATCTGTACAAGTCTATTAAAATTTGCTTGAGGTCATTACACGAGCTAGGAGACATCATCACAACAAAGATGAGGCGTAACTGGAACTACAATGAACAGAGAACTTTCTGGAGTACTCCCCAAAATGATGAACTAAACAAGCAAAACGAGGCCAAGCATTTAAGCAGGGATCGTGTGCTGCTGGAGTATGTAGATGAGGAGCACGTTTGGGAAATAAAGAGACACCAGCGACAAGTGCAGAAGGAGGAGAAGGAGAGGGAAAGGGTCAGTACTTTGCTGAAGGCGGAGGACGAGAAAAGGGTCGAGCGAACCTATGAGTGGAAGAAGAGAAAGAGGCCGAGAAACTCAACTGCTTTGAGATTGAAAAGCAAGGGAGGGAGAAAACCAGGCAAAAGATCTGTGAGAACACACTGGAGCTTTGGCAGCTGTATTCAAAACTGCAGGCAGTGTACACCAACAAAGGCATAGTTATACAAATGGCTGAGAACGAGGCCATGAGGTGCCAGAAGAAGTGTGATATGGCTGCACTTGGAATGGAAATGAAGCGGGAACAAGAGAAGAGAGACACAGAGGACAAGGAGGCAAGGCATTGCATAGGCAGTTCCAGGAGAAGGAGCACAGGAAAGAGCAAGCCTATCAGGAGTTCCTCAAAGACAAACAACCGGTGGATGAAATAGTACAGAAGATCTACGAGGACCTGCAGATGGAAAGACAGCAGCAAATGGAAAAAGTCAAAGAAGCTCAGGAGGATATCAAGGAATATGCAAGAAGACAGGAAGAGTGGATACGTTTGGAGAAAGAGAGGATGGAAGCTGAGAACAGGCGCATCATGGAGTTTATGAGGCAGCTCATGGAGAAGAATAGAGCAGCAATGCTCAAAGAGAAGGATCAAGCCAGAGGCTACCTTTCCCTGTTCTGCAAACAGATGGAACAGGATATGCAGCAGCGTGAGGAGATCAGATTGCTGACAAAGAGGCCAGGAGGAGGCCTTCAGACAAAAGATGTTGGACAAGTTTGCTGAGGATGACAGGATTGAGCTGTCCAATAAACACCAGTATTGGACAGCTCAATGTCCAATAAACAGTATAAATAAATAAATTGTTTATTGGACAGGATTGAGCTATCCAATAAACACCAATAAACAACTGGTGCAACTGATGCCTGTTGCTGGTGCAACAGGTGGTAACAGTCACATTGGTATAGTCCCACAGACTTTGGTGATGACACTCCGTTTGGAGAGTGGGTTCTTTTGCTCAGTAATATTCAAGGACAAGAGATCAAAAACATGAATCTTTCGAAAAAATACAAAAGCATGACGAGTAATGTTGGTGAAAGAGAAAACATGCTTGACATGTGTCATATTATGAAGACACATATTGTTTTCTTTGTTGTTTTGTGTCAATGTTGTTTTGTTTTTGTTTTTGTTTTGTTTGTTTGTTTCTTTTTGTTTTTACCTAATTATCAAGCAGTGCACTTCTGCGGTCACACCCTGCAGTGCTGTTTATTCAACGGTAGATGACAATGTGGCACTCCCCCGACTGAAAGAGTTGCAGGAAGTTGCGTATGAAGATTAGCTGCTCGCTACCATGGCGCCTCTAGACCTGGATAAATATGCTGAGATCGCTAAACATTGTAAATACCTGCCAGAGAACGACCTCAAGGTAAGCGTTACTTTAGTCACGAGTCATTTGTTTCAGGAGCTGCTTTCGGTTTGTGTTGAACGGGTCAATTTGCCGCTCTTTAAAATCACATTGTCGTAGCTCAAAGTAGCATTAGCTTCAGCTAGCTCTGCTTTCTGATTTTATCTCATCTAGTGCAGGTAGTGTCCAATAAACAGTGTATCTCATCAGAGATCAACTCAAGTGGAGCTGTTCTCAGGAGATGAAACAGGTTCGAGTAACTGCCCTTTATAACAGTTTTAACGACTATCCGGAAGTAACGGCATCATAATTCTGATTAGACATAATTACGTTTGACTTCTGAGACGCAATACGACAAAGTTGACAATTTTTACATCACCTCTTTCATGGAAAAAACATTAATATTCATTGATACATGTGAAAGTATTTTTTATGTGTTTTAAATAAATTAAAAACATAACAATTTCGCCATTTTTACTGAATCTTTAAAACACAATATGACGTGCCAAGAATATATAGTGAAATCATATCTAACTATATATGGTCACGTAAAATATAATATAGAACTGTAAAGAGGAAAATATAACAAGTGTAGTACTTGCTTAGTTCAAGTGCAACAGTGTGGTGGTATATATGCATTTTTTCCACTGCCTGACATTTACTTAGGCTCAAATGAGGGAATCAAAACGATGGAAATGTTACCATGTTGAAAAGTGAAAGTAATTGTTATAAGCTGAGAATACTAGGACAGGCTAATGGATGTCAAACAGTTCTTTGGACATTAGTTGTGATATACTAAAACAATTGAAAAGCTTGAGAGGCTTGTAGCTAGTGGACTCATTGCTTGCCCTTTAAAATACATAGCTGCCAGAGAATTTCTTCTGTTTACTCACTTTCCTTTGAATTTTAAGTAAAGTGAAATTTGTAAAATTTATATGTACATCTACAAAAGGCTGGACCGACTCTTGAGAGTCAGAGCAAGATGTGAATAGGCTGTTCAAAAAACAAAACCCCCGCAAAGCGGCCGGACCGGACCACGTCTCACCTGCTACCCTGAAGCACTGTGCTGACCAGCTATCTCCAGTGTTCACGGACATTTTCAACACCGCGTTGGAGATATGCCAAGTGCCATCATGTTTCAAATCCTCCACCATCATCCCTGTCCCCAAAAATCAAAACCCTCTGGACTAAATGACTACAGACCCATTGCCACATGACTACAGACCACATCTGTGGTCATGAAGTCATTTGAACGCCTTGTCCTTACACACCTCAAATCCATTACTGACCCACTCTTGGACCCCCTGCAGTTCGCCTACAGAGCCAACCGGTCTGTAGACGATGCTGTGAACTAAGGCCGGGCATACACTGTACGATTTTTGAAAAACTTGTCGTTGATACCATCACACACTGTACGAGTAATCGTCTACGATGTATGGCCAAAGCTCACGATTTATGTACTTGCACTGTACCAGATCATCGAACACGACCAGAGAGCTCACACTGTGCGGGTGAAAACGGCCCGTCGGCCCCTGCTGACTGTCCTGTCTATTGAGCTGTCAATAAAGGTTTATGTGAAAGCTCCGACGGTGGTTATTAGCAAAATGCTAGACAAAAAGAAGACGGCTGCCCCAGTGATTGCTGCGGTACTGTGCGCTAAAAGTTCTAAAAAGAAGAGGCGCCGGCATATCTGGATTACGAGATGGCTCAGCAAACGTGAACAGTACGGGTTATCCGTTTTAATGCAGGAATTGGAGTTAAGCCTACTTTTAACTTCATAACAAACGCTATGCTAAAATTCCAGTTATCTACGTTTTGACGGTTACAAGTCACTAACAACATTTTTAATTAGGGTACAAAATTAATTTATATTAAATTTATATTAATATTTAATTTTTTTGTCCTCCAGTTAGTGGCCAGTACATGTTCACGTTTTACCAGCTACACTCAATAGACTTGCGTTAAGTGAGTATCACTTTGCGCAGGCGCACTGAGGGAGAAATGCTCCGGTCGGCTCTGGGCTCTGCTTCCACTGTGCGAAAGAATTTGTCAGCCGACCAAAATTTCTGACATGTCAGAAATTCGTCCGACGGTGGTTCCGGAGCAGATAATCGGCCCTCGTTACCCCCTGTACACTGTACGGAAAAAGACGCCCGACGAAACGTGAAATCCATCAGCACTGGCTCTCCGCAGGGCTGTGTCCTTTCTCCTCTGCTCTTCTCCCTGTACACAAACACCTGCACCTCGAGCCATCAGAACATGAAGGTTGCGGATGATACCACCCTCATCGGACTCATCTCTGATGGGACAGATGGGAGATCGACTGCCTTGTGACCTGGTGTAGACTGAACAACTTAGAGCTCAATGCCCTAAAAACAGTGGAGATGAGCCCACCCCCATCCTCACCCATCACCCTGGGTGATTCTCCTGTGGATACTGTAGAACACTTCTGCTTCCTGGGAACCATCATCACCCAGGACCTTAAATGGGAGCTAAACATCAGCTCCCTCATCATAAAAGGCCTACAGAGGATGTACCTCCTGAGGCAGCTGAAACAGTTAAATCTGCCAAAGTCAATGATGGTGAACTTCTACACCTCCATCATCGAGTCTATCCTCACCTCCTCCATCTCCATCTGGTACGCTGCTGCCACTGCAAAGGATCTGCGCAGACTGCAGCGTGTCATCCGCTCTGCCGAGAAGATAATTGGCTGCAACCTACCTTCGCTACAGGACCTGTACACCTCCAGAATCCTAAAGCGAGCAAAAAAGATTGCAACCGACCCCTCTCACCCCAGTCACAAACTCTTTGAGGCGCTCCCCTCTGGCAGGAGGTTGCGGTCCTCCCGGACCAAAACCTCTCGCCCCAA